TTTTAAACCTATTCCACTGAACCTATTACACACTGCTCACCACTCACATTTTCACATACTCTCTTCCTAAACAGAACTGACCGAACGTTCTACAAGAGAAAATTCCAACCCAGTTCGCATGTCTTGGCCAAACACATAAATTGAATACAATTCAATCAAACCTACCATTATTCATACATGCAAGCGTACACACATCAATTCCAAACACAGAAAAATATAATTAAATCACTATAGCTTCCCTTAACTTGTATAAATTAGGCACTTCCTAAGCTTCCACCACTTTGAATAACCAGCAACCACTTCTAAAGCAACCCACCACTTCACACATCAACTAGATTGATGGAAAAGAAACTCTTGTCACCAAGGAAGAACTCAAACACGGCCTAGATGATGATCAAAATAAGGAGAAAGTGAGGATTTTTAGAGAGAAGAAGGAGGATTGTAGAGAGAAGGAAGAGAAACTCAGAAATTTAGAGAGAAGAGGTGCATGCAAAAGTGGCTCAACATTTGAAAATTTTGCTTATATACTACCATAAAAAACCGATCGACCAACCAGCTACACACACCTGTCTTTCACTTTCTGAACTTTCTAAACCCTTATATCTACACCTGACTTCCACTAAAAGCTAAATTTAATGGTTCTGAAAAGTTTTAAGAGAATTTCGTATGGTACGACTTTATAAAAAAGAAGTCGTGTCAAACAGAAACGACTCTATTATAAATAAACTTGTATTATAGAAAAATTTGTGTTAAGTATTGACGACTTCTATAAAATATTATCTAAAAGTGAAATCATTGTAGCTATAAACAATTTCAATTATGGAATGAAATAAACAAAAATCATGTCATGTTATGACGATTTTTGAATGAAATGAAATAAAGTTGTGTCATGTTATATAAACTTTATTTATGAAGAATTAAAATCGTTTTAAAATATTATAAAGACCATAAAGACCATCCCTCAACTATCAAACACTTTTTGGATTTCGTCCCACTTCCAAACTTTGCTTCACTTTTATCCTTCTCCTTAAGGAAACTATAATATTTAGTTCTCTAAAACTAACTGCGTTAAATTTTTAGTGAGTTGGCTAACGGTATGCCATGTTTCATGCCATGTGTACACAGAGGTTTGTGTTTGACGCTCAATCAACTTCATCCTCTTCTTCTCATCAACACAGAGAAAGCAACTTGCGAGACAAGATGACCGTCATCTCCTCCATGAGCGAAAACCTACAATCTCCTCCATGAGTAAAAACCTGGAGAGAACACAAAATCACAAACCAGAAGCAACCAAGAAGTAGAGAAATCTAGAAATCATAGAACCTTAATTGCGATTGCATAAATCGTAGAACTCTAATTGTGATCGCAAAAATTGTAGAAATCACAGAACCCTAATCTAGAAATCGCATCGTAGAACCCTAAGAATGTTTATAAAAATCACCAGCATGATAAATCAGTCTTGACTTGAGTGAAGAAATCACCAGCATGTAGTTCTCCGCCTTTCGTCTTTTGTGAATTTATAAAAATGAAATTGCAATTAGATTGAAGTCAAAACCTATCTTCATCATAATCTCACTATCGATCTGTAGTTGGCCAGCAGCATAGGCTAGGCACCATAGAACATGCCACAGTGCATGCCATAGCGATGATGACCACCATAGTAGTTGATAGGCATATTAGTGTTAGCCACCTTTTTCCAAGTCTTCCTACTCGTTGACCAATTCCTGCTGCTTCAGCTCCCGTATGCGCTAAGTGACAATGGCTTGGCTATGACCAGATGTTGCAGTCTTGAAGCTAGCGTTACCACCTCTTTACTTCCATTACTGGACGGAATTCGCTAGCGACGATGCAAACCTTATCCCTTTCTTCCAACAAGGCCCTCTTAGATTGGTAGCATTTCATTCCTCCCCAATAAAAAAGAGGGTTTAGAGTGGATTCCTTTCTTCAATGCATTCCACCGAGGCGACTAGGGCACCTTTTTTGTAAGAGATGCTCAACTCAAGCCAACTTCTATCAGTTCAAGCGGAAGGTAAGGGGGAGTGGTACAATTAGGCCTTCCCCTCGGTATACGATATCAGTATGTAAAGTTCATTTCTCTCGTAGGCCCGCTTTTGAGACTTCTGGTTTAAGGTACTTCACCGCTAACGAGCATCGATAAGCTGTCGCAAGCAATCAAAGCGATTCCCTTCCTTATTCTAATAGAAAAGGTTATCCGGGCCCTCCCCCTGTCTATAGCTACCTCATTGAAGTCAAATCCTGTCTCCCGTAATGTAGTTCTCTTCCTTTCATCTTTCTCATATTTTCTATGTATTCTTGGAGAGGTACTGTTCACTTTTGTTTTGTCTTACTATTTCTCTTCTTGTACTAGAGTGTTGATCTAAGAATGAAAAATGAGTTATTTGGGTTTGGGTGTGAGTCTTGGTACTGTTCCAGTGTACCATGGAACAAATCTCAAAGATTTGGATAGGAAGGTGAGGATAACAGAGATGGTGCTAAGAGGTGTGACCCATTGGGCCGTTGTAGACGGGGAGAACGAGGATGAGAGGCTTTCCCGAAAGGAGATGGAGGGCGATAGAGGACGATGGGGCCAAGGTGGAAGGCGGGTGTTAAAAATCCGGCAAGTGTACTGAATCGTATCAAGTAATAAACATGGTAAGACTAAGTATTGTTTTCCAAAGGACTCACGGCCTAAACAATTATGTGATTTCTTGATTAAATAAGACTTGAAAACAAACTCTTTTGGTGTAAAATGCAAATACAGAAAAGTAAATATGCATGCAACTTGATCAATTGGACAAAAGTGCAGAGATGAACGAATTTGATTTTATGGGATGAATATGTTGTTGGGGTTAGATTTCACCTATTTTGCTCTCTTGTATATACGAATTCTACTTCTTCAATAATGTCAATGTCACTATCTAAAATACTTAAAACCCGATTCCTCGGCGAAGAAAGCTTATCCTTAATTATAGATCATAACATCTTTCGTCATCCCTAATAATTGATTCTTACGAACAGAAGCTTAAGACAACCAGAACTCAAACCCCCATTCCTGAGCAATATTGCTTCTGGGAATAATTCTCCAAAACCTGAATTGTAAGATACCTTCTGATACTCATGCAAATCATACATCATGCTAATGAATGAGTTAAACAAAGCAAGCAATGAGCGAAGAAGAATTACCCTAACAATTAATGAAAGAAGCATATATAATCAAGAATCAATTCAATACATGAGAGTTTATAAAGGTTTACATCCTTCCCCAACAACAAATAGAGTTTAGTTCACCATTGACATGATGGAACTAGATGAATAATGGAAAAAGAATGAAAGATAAAACCTAGAAGTTGAAGATAGGAGCTTCCGCATCCAAATCTGCCTCCGAGGGATCAAAGAGTGTGCTTCTGTGCCTATTTCGTCCAAAGATGTGAACCCTAGGACGCCCAAGTCCTTAAATAGAACATAAAAATAACAGAAAACGGGTCCAAGCCCACGAAACTAGCGCTCAGCGCCCAACTTAGGGCGCCCGGGCGGCATACGAGATCATATGACGCTCAGGGTCATCTCATAAGGCAAGCAGGCGTGGTGCGACTCAAGAAACTGGCGCTCAGAGCCCCAAAAAGGGTGCCTAGGCGCGAGACAGGGACTTCCTGCGATGAGGGCTCCAGAAAAAGGGCATCCAAGCGGAAGACAGTGTAATCCGGCGCTGAAGGCCCCTGAAATGACGCTCAGCGTTGCTGCGTTCCTCCTTTCTGATGCTTTTTTTGCTCTTCCTGAGTTCCAACTCCTTACTACTTCAACTCTTCTTCCAAATCATCTCAATTCCTGTTGAAAACAAGGAAATCTAACATAATATCATTAAATTCACCTTCAACTCTCTTATTCACACAAAACTACGATTTCAAGCTAGTTTCTAAGTCAAAAATGGTGTTTTTAGTATCAAAATTAAGTATCAAATAACGGTGAATTCAACTGTTATCAGCGGGGAGGAGGTGGTGGCGTGGGAGATGGAGGTCGAGGTAAAGAGATGGAGGAGGGCCGTTAGCCATGGTATTTTCACTTGAATTTCGGAGTTTTAATTTCTAACGTGGCATGAAACATGGCTAACAACGTGGCACACTGTTAGTCAGTTCACTGAAAATTTAACGTCATTGATTTTGGAGGACTAAATATTATAGTTTCCTTAACAAAAAAGATCAAAGTGAAACAAAATTTGAAAGAAGAATGAAACCCAAAACCGCTTGATAGTTAAGTGACAAAAAAACATATTTAATCCTCTGTATATATCATTTAAAAATTATGGATGATCATTTGTATAAGACACTTTACTCTTTCAAAGATTTTATTTTGCCTACTTTCCTTTACTAAATAATTTACCATCTTTCAATATTTTAATGAAATTAAATAATTTACCTCGTTTTTGGACTTCAATGGTGTGCCTTATAACAAAAATAAAAGTAATACAATTTACAATATAAGAGTAAAGAGGAAAACTTTAACGAACATTTACTTAAACAAGTGTGAATAGTATTATAATTACTGAAATCATATGTTCATTCATATTGGTTCAATCTAAATTGAAATAAATTGATTTTTAAATTTGGATTTAAAATAATGAAACATGAATAAGAATATAAAATAAATTCAATTAAAATATACATTTTTTTTGGCTCATAAGTCTGATTTGGATTGTGCACAACATCCGTAATTTGAACCGTGCGATAAAGTACTAACATAGTTCTATCTTTCTAATAAAAATGTCTCCTTCCCCTTGTACAGATAATGTCCAGAAAACAAGAGGTCCAAAATACTGGAAGCCTGCGCAACTAAAATTCTGGTCCTGAAGAGCCCCCTTTCTCCCTTGGTTCCCTTGATTGTTTTCCAACCCATACAATGCAAACACATGCTTCCACTGTCATGAAAAGATGATTGCCCTCAAATTCATTCATCCTTCCACTCCTACCAATATCAAGTATAATATCCACAGCAGCAGAATCCTCAACACAAAAGGTTATACTATATGTCTCTGCAAGTCCAATGAATCTGATTCTCAAGCTCCCCAACCAGGAGATATACGTAAACAAGAACTGCTAGCACAAATTGCCATTCTTCAAACTCAAAAAGTCCGACTCACAAATTATCTAGACGATAGATCTGCATATTTAGCCAAATTTGGTGAAGAAGCCAAGGCTGAGTTTGACAAGATTGGAGAAGATGCCCTCCAAGAATTAGATGAAGCTAGTGCCAGAGTACGCTTCAACTTTTGAGTTAACTATTTATTGAAATTTTGTATTTTGTTTTGGTTAGGAAAAGGCTTAAACAATGGTTTGGCAAAACTGTGTCTCTTGTGCCAAATACACTAACCGATCAATCATCAAGCAAGGATGAAGAAAAATCTACATGCGAAAGGTGTTTTAGTAATGACCTCTTCTTGTGTTCATTTGTGTTCGGCAGATAACAGCAAACATAGAGAGCCAGAAGGTAGAGTTTGAGGAATCTGCAGAACTCTTCAGACAAGAGATTAAGGAGCGCGAAAAGGAACTGCATGAATTTGAAGTTCAAATGGAGGATGGAAGAAACGAAGGGCTATTCTTTAAGAACCTTAGAAAGAAAGCACCTGTTGACATAGCAAAAGCTAAAGAGGAGGCGGAAAAAATAAAAAATGTAACCAGAGAAAAAGCTGGTAGCAGAACAAGAAAAGGCATTTACCTCTTCTTTATTGGCCTTCTTACCTTTGCAATAGTTGATTCTATTGCCTCACCATCAACTGATTGGAGGAAGGAAGCAGTTCTTGGAGCTATTGTTCTGGCTTTAGTTTCTCAGCTCATCTATGAACAGTCGATGTCATCAGAAACTGGAAAAATAAGAAAGGCCAATACTGAAGAGAAAAAGAACTGAAGTTCAATTTTTTACTGAGATTGACTGCGAGTTTCTGGGAAATACAATTATTAAAGGATATTGCATGAGCAATAAACCCAGGTGGAAGCTTATAACTTGGGCCTGATAACATCATGCAGCTTTGTTTTGGCATCAACAACAACAGATATTGGTTATATAACTACAATCACCAAAATCTGGGCAACTGGGTTACCGTGCGATGCTTTTCTTTCATATCTTTTGTTAAAACAGAAAAACATACTTTTATCATCATCCTAGCTTTTAGAAATGTACATTTGGAAGCTAACTTGTATCTCTGTATCTCCTGTCATATAAACAATTAACGAGAACTAATAACTACAAAATGTTACTAATTTCTGTACAGCTTAACAGCATGGCTAATCAATTAGAAAAGTATAGTAATTGCTGCCTGAAATTCCCAATAAGGCCTGAGGCAGATAAATATCCCAAAAATCCAAACAAATTACCCTTTTCTGTTCAGTCAACTCCAAAATTTAGGCATCCTAGAGACAAGCTGCATTGCACCCAAGTACCTAATACCGTAATGTGCCTGTGTATTAGATGTAGTCCATCGCCAGCAGCTGTTTGCCCAGGGCCGTTAAATTTCCTTCAAAGCGCTATCTGGAAGCGTAATATGACAAGCATGCTCAAAAATGCTGCTTGGTCGCATACCTAAACATCTCCGGAATCCCATTTCCTGTGAGACCAGTAAAATACTTGTGTTTTAGTATAATACTAGTAGGCTTGTAGCTGATGTTGTCAACTAGTGGAAAAATACTGAAAAAATTATATTAAAAAATTAGTCCACATCAGAAAAATATCAATGCTCTAACTAATATGTTCCAGGTAATGGCCGTTGGCAGAACACCATGCGCCAAAGCATCATTTAGAACCTCAATTGCATCTGTTACTCTACCACAAGAACAGAGCCCCTTAAGAGTAATATTATACGAGATGATGTCGGGTTGTAGCCCATCTGCTGAGATTTGATCCCAAGTCATTGATGCCATTCTGCAGTTTCCAACTTTGTAAAAACCCTCCATAATGGTATTGTAAGTCACAAGGCTAATACATTTCCTCTGCCTCATCGTTAAATAAAGCTGCAGAGCATCTTCCACTTTCCCAGAACAACAAAGTCTATGAATGACAATGTTGTACATAGTAATATCAGGCATATGCCCTGTGTTAAGAAACTGATGCCACAACCTAACGGCTGCCTCCCCCATCCTGTTCTCATAAAGACTATCTATCAACATACTATATGTGATAATATCTGGTTTCCACCCTTTTTGCAACATTTCATTAACATAATCAGAAGCCTCACGAAATCTTCCAGCTCTCAGTAATCCATTTATAAGAATATTATAGGACACAACATTTGGTGGGCAACCTTTGCTGCCCATTTCCCCAAAAGCTTTAACAGCACTATCAAGTCTCGAATGTTTAACAAACCCATCAATAAGCACATTACAAACATGGAGGTTCAATTTACAGCCACGCTTATTCATAAGTTCTACGACTCCACTTACCTCATCTAATCTCCCTTCTTTGCACAAAGCGTTTATCATTGACGAGTAAGTAAAAGCATCCACATCCACATCACCTCCCTTCTGTTCAGCCTCTTCCAACACCCGCAAAGCCCAATTCACATGCCCATTCCTACACAAACCATGAATCACCACACTAAACGTAGCAGAATCCGCCTTCGACAAACCACCCCACATCGACATGGCCTCCTCCACCTTCTCATTCTCAAACAACCCCTTCAGAAATATGTTATAACTTCTCACGTTCCGCAGACCCCAGTTCCCCATCTCCTCCCACAATTCAAAACATTCCTTAACCTTCCCCGCCTTACACAACCCATTAAGCATTGCATTACACGTAACAACATCAGGCCTAACACCTCGTCCAACCATCTCCTCGTAAACCCTTCTAGCTCCATCCAAATCCCCCCCTTCACTCAACCCATGTATCAAAGTACTATACGTAAACAAATCATGCCTCTTGTCATTCCTCTTCATCCGCTCCCATATCTCCAAACCCTCACCAAACCTACCACACTTACACAAGCCACTAATCATGACGTTATAACTCACCACACTGGGAAACACCGACTCTTCCCTCAACAACCTCTCCCACATTTCACTCGCCTTCAGAAAATTCCCACTTTTGAAAAACCCATCAATGATCATGTTATAACACACCACATCAGGTTCCACCCCGTGCTCACGCATTTCATCGAACACTTCAAGTGCAAATCCCAAATCTCCACTCTTCGCCGTTGCACCAATCAAAGTACCGTAAGTGACCTTATCAGGGCTCAACCCCGCACTCGACATCCACGTCAGCAACTCCCTAACCTTCTCAAACTCACGCTTTTTACACAACACCTTCATGATAACGTTATAGGTTTCGACATTCGGCAACACGCGAGCGGATTCAAAGTACTTGAAGAAGCCCTCAGCCCGTGCCCATTGGTTCGATTCAACGAACGCGTTGAGGAGGGTATTGAAGGAGCGTGTGGTGGGGGTGCACCCGAACACTTGCGGCATGGTTTGGAACACGTGCAGGGCTTCGTCGGGCATGCGGGATTTGGCGTAGGCTTTGAGGAGGACGAGGGGCACCTCCTCGTGGCAGGGGCAGCGAATGGAGGAGACAATACGTTGCGCGTGGGCGAGGAAGAGGGCGGGGTCGGTGGCCAGGCGGCGGAGGATGTGGTGGAAGACGGCGGAGGAGGGGACAAAGCCGGGGCGGCGCGTGGCGTCGTCGAAGAGGCTAAGGGCAGAGAGAAGGGACTTCTGAGCTTTGAGCAGCTTGAGAAGACTGTGGGAAGAGAGGGATTTGGGAAGCTCCACCATGACACTGACAGTGGAGAGCGGAGCGGAAACAATTTTCACTGCATTGCATATTTGCGTTTCACTGCTTAGGGACTTTGGAATACCCTTAAATCTTGTGTAACTTAAGTGGAAGATATAGGAAGAAGAATTTAGGAGATTAATTTTGTTTTCTAAAGAATTTTTTTTCTTGATAAAGAACTAAAAACATGGTATAAATTTATAGGAGTAATTAAATGTTAAATTCATTTATTTATTCATCATATTCTCCTTTTCTCACACACCATTAGAATGTTATTTATTGATTTGTCAAATTATTGTTACCAGCAGTAGTAATATGTAGTTTTGTTGGTACAGTGATGTTATGGCACAAGATTGTAACGGAGTTTTGGATAAGTGAATGATTTTGAAGTGAAGTGTGTTTCTATTTGCTAGAACAAGAATGGTGTAAGATTATAAGTATAATGAAGTTGATCAATCATAGCCACTCGTTAGTTTGTGTTGAATTGGTTTGAAATTTTTTTAATTTTTTAAATATGGATTGAAGTGAATTCAATTTACTTAATTTATAGATTAAACATATTCGAATTAGATGTAAAATAAATTGGGGTATAATTGATTAACAATGAAATTTTATTAATATTTTTATAACGGTTACTATGAACTTATTTCTGACCGAAGGGTAAAGGTATAGGAGAACCTCTACCTCACTTTGGGCTCATTTACTACAGGTTAAGACGACATACGATCCTAAGAAACCGAACGGTCAACATGTAGGAAAAAGCCTCTCAACTGTTCGGTTCCGACAACGGTTGAGCAGTTAAGGTTTGCATTAATGACCATTAAGAGGTAAATTAATTGGTGAGATTCCTTTAAACTCTACAAATAAGGGTTTAGGTTCGAGGTAAACTTACGTTTTACTCACTACAAAATTATAAAGGCTTACAGAGAAAATTTCTGACTTGAACGTAGGAGTGTCTTCTACAGGTCGCCCCCCATTCAGTGTTTGGTTGGCTGGAGATAGGAGAAGCATGACGCTCGACAGCGACAAAAGGACGTTTGGCGGAGATCCTCATCCCATTTCAGCAGAAACATTTTGGCACCATCCGTGGGGCCGAGGATTTTCAAAGACACCTTAGCAAGACCATAAGGGTGGCTTAAGATCCATCAGCGTTTATAAAGGAGATGCATAGGAGGATGAAAGCCATGCAAGCTGAAATTGAAACTCTAAGGGCCAAGCGAGATGCAGCACGTAGGGACCGTGACGCGAGGTGGAGGGCCCCGTCTAGTCAAAGGCCGGCTGCACCCACCTGGAGGGGTACTGCCCGTCCGGTTCATGCCGCTCGGGCAAGGGCACTTCATCCTTTCACGAATGCAGTCATGGAAGAGCAAATGCCGGAAAGGGATCTCTCAGTTCTGGAAAGATATGATGGATCGGAGGAGCCATGGTAATCTATTCACCTAGTGAGAGGATTTGGTGTAGGGTTTTTCCCTTGTCCGTTAAAGGAGAAGCTTTGGAATGGTTTCACTCTCTTCGTCCCAGTACTGCTGATAGTTTTGCAACTTTGAGGCGCCTGTTTGAACAACAGTTCGCTTCCAGTAAGATGCAAGACCTTACCTACATAGAGCTTACTAAAATCAAACAGGGAAAAGATGAAGACCTGAGGGACTTCATGGACCAGTTCAACCGGACCACACGGCAGGTGAAGGCTGTTGGCAAGAAGTTCATCATCAGCACCCTGTCAACAGCCTTAAGGTCGTGCTCCTTTGCGGATAGCCTATTTGCTCGGCCACCTTTAACCATGGGAGAAGTACAGGAGAGGGCCGCTGAGTTCATTCCAATCAGGGAGATGTGGGTTGTCCAAAAAAGGCAGCACGAAGAGAATGATTCACCCTCGGCAGGTCGGCAGCGAAAGGAGGGCAAGCGAGCGTGCACGCAGGACTGTTAACACTCGGCAAGTGTACCAAATCGTATCAAGTAATAATAAAATGGTAAGACCAAATATCGTTTCCCAAAGGACTCAGCCTAAACAGTTATGTGATTTCTTGATTAAATTAGACTTGTAAACAAAATCTTTTAGGTTTAGATGCAAATACTAAAAAGTAAATATGAATGCATGTGTTGATCAATTTGTTTGAAAGATGCAAAAGTGATTGATGTAAAATATGAATGATTATGTTGTTGGGGTTTCCGACTCATCCTATCCACTCTCATNGATCATTTGTATAAGACACTTTACTCTTTCAAAGATTTTATTTTGCCTACTTTCCTTTACTAAATAATTTACCATCTTTCAATATTTTAATGAAATTAAATAATTTACCTCGTTTTTGGACTTCAATGGTGTGCCTTATAACAAAAATAAAAGTAATACAATTTACAATATAAGAGTAAAGAGGAAAACTTTAACGAACATTTACTTAAACAAGTGTGAATAGTATTATAATTACTGAAATCATATGTTCATTCATATTGGTTCAATCTAAATTGAAATAAATTGATTTTTAAATTTGGATTTAAAATAATGAAACATGAATAAGAATATAAAATAAATTCAATTAAAATATACATTTTTTTTGGCTCATAAGTCTGATTTGGATTGTGCACAACATCCGTAATTTGAACCGTGCGATAAAGTACTAACATAGTTCTATCTTTCTAATAAAAATGTCTCCTTCCCCTTGTACAGATAATGTCCAGAAAACAAGAGGTCCAAAATACTGGAAGCCTGCGCAACTAAAATTCTGGTCCTGAAGAGCCCCCTTTCTCCCTTGGTTCCCTTGATTGTTTTCCAACCCATACAATGCAAACACATGCTTCCACTGTCATGAAAAGATGATTGCCCTCAAATTCATTCATCCTTCCACTCCTACCAATATCAAGTATAATATCCACAGCAGCAGAATCCTCAACACAAAAGGTTATACTATATGTCTCTGCAAGTCCAATGAATCTGATTCTCAAGCTCCCCAACCAGGAGATATACGTAAACAAGAACTGCTAGCACAAATTGCCATTCTTCAAACTCAAAAAGTCCGACTCACAAATTATCTAGACGATAGATCTGCATATTTAGCCAAATTTGGTGAAGAAGCCAAGGCTGAGTTTGACAAGATTGGAGAAGATGCCCTCCAAGAATTAGATGAAGCTAGTGCCAGAGTACGCTTCAACTTTTGAGTTAACTATTTATTGAAATTTTGTATTTTGTTTTGGTTAGGAAAAGGCTTAAACAATGGTTTGGCAAAACTGTGTCTCTTGTGCCAAATACACTAACCGATCAATCATCAAGCAAGGATGAAGAAAAATCTACATGCGAAAGGTGTTTTAGTAATGACCTCTTCTTGTGTTCATTTGTGTTCGGCAGATAACAGCAAACATAGAGAGCCAGAAGGTAGAGTTTGAGGAATCTGCAGAACTCTTCAGACAAGAGATTAAGGAGCGCGAAAAGGAACTGCATGAATTTGAAGTTCAAATGGAGGATGGAAGAAACGAAGGGCTATTCTTTAAGAACCTTAGAAAGAAAGCACCTGTTGACATAGCAAAAGCTAAAGAGGAGGCGGAAAAAATAAAAAATGTAACCAGAGAAAAAGCTGGTAGCAGAACAAGAAAAGGCATTTACCTCTTCTTTATTGGCCTTCTTACCTTTGCAATAGTTGATTCTATTGCCTCACCATCAACTGATTGGAGGAAGGAAGCAGTTCTTGGAGCTATTGTTCTGGCTTTAGTTTCTCAGCTCATCTATGAACAGTCGATGTCATCAGAAACTGGAAAAATAAGAAAGGCCAATACTGAAGAGAAAAAGAACTGAAGTTCAATTTTTTACTGAGATTGACTGCGAGTTTCTGGGAAATACAATTATTAAAGGATATTGCATGAGCAATAAACCCAGGTGGAAGCTTATAACTTGGGCCTGATAACATCATGCAGCTTTGTTTTGGCATCAACAACAACAGATATTGGTTATATAACTACAATCACCAAAATCTGGGCAACTGGGTTACCGTGCGATGCTTTTCTTTCATATCTTTTGTTAAAACAGAAAAACATACTTTTATCATCATCCTAGCTTTTAGAAATGTACATTTGGAAGCTAACTTGTATCTCTGTATCTCCTGTCATATAAACAATTAACGAGAACTAATAACTACAAAATGTTACTAATTTCTGTACAGCTTAACAGCATGGCTAATCAATTAGAAAAGTATAGTAATTGCTGCCTGAAATTCCCAATAAGGCCTGAGGCAGATAAATATCCCAAAAATCCAAACAAATTACCCTTTTCTGTTCAGTCAACTCCAAAATTTAGGCATCCTAGAGACAAGCTGCATTGCACCCAAGTACCTAATACCGTAATGTGCCTGTGTATTAGATGTAGTCCATCGCCAGCAGCTGTTTGCCCAGGGCCGTTAAATTTCCTTCAAAGCGCTATCTGGAAGCGTAATATGACAAGCATGCTCAAAAATGCTGCTTGGTCGCATACCTAAACATCTCCGGAATCCCATTTCCTGTGAGACCAGTAAAATACTTGTGTTTTAGTATAATACTAGTAGGCTTGTAGCTGATGTTGTCAACTAGTGGAAAAATACTGAAAAAATTATATTAAAAAATTAGTCCACATCAGAAAAATATCAATGCTCTAACTAATATGTTCCAGGTAATGGCCGTTGGCAGAACACCATGCGCCAAAGCATCATTTAGAACCTCAATTGCATCTGTTACTCTACCACAAGAACAGAGCCCCTTAAGAGTAATATTATACGAGATGATGTCGGGTTGTAGCCCATCTGCTGAGATTTGATCCCAAGTCATTGATGCCATTCTGCAGTTTCCAACTTTGTAAAAACCCTCCATAATGGTATTGTAAGTCACAAGGCTAATACATTTCCTCTGCCTCATCGTTAAATAAAGCTGCAGAGCATCTTCCACTTTCCCAGAACAACAAAGTCTATGAATGACAATGTTGTACATAGTAATATCAGGCATATGCCCTGTGTTAAGAAACTGATGCCACAACCTAACGGCTGCCTCCCCCATCCTGTTCTCATAAAGACTATCTATCAACATACTATATGTGATAATATCTGGTTTCCACCCTTTTTGCAACATTTCATTAACATAATCAGAAGCCTCACGAAATCTTCCAGCTCTCAGTAATCCATTTATAAGAATATTATAGGACACAACATTTGGTGGGCAACCTTTGCTGCCCATTTCCCCAAAAGCTTTAACAGCACTATCAAGTCTCGAATGTTTAACAAACCCATCAATAAGCACATTACAAACATGGAGGTTCAATTTACAGCCACGCTTATTCATAAGTTCTACGACTCCACTTACCTCATCTAATCTCCCTTCTTTGCACAAAGCGTTTATCATTGACGAGTAAGTAAAAGCATCCACATCCACATCACCTCCCTTCTGTTCAGCCTCTTCCAACACCCGCAAAGCCCAATTCACATGCCCATTCCTACACAAACCATGAATCACCACACTAAACGTAGCAGAATCCGCCTTCGACAAACCACCCCACATCGACATGGCCTCCTCCACCTTCTCATTCTCAAACAACCCCTTCAGAAATATGTTATAACTTCTCACGTTCCGCAGACCCCAGTTCCCCATCTCCTCCCACAATTCAAAACATTCCTTAACCTTCCCCGCCTTACACAACCCATTAAGCATTGCATTACACGTAACAACATCAGGCCTAACACCTCGTCCAACCATCTCCTCGTAAACCCTTCTAGCTCCATCCAAATCCCCCCCTTCACTCAACCCATGTATCAAAGTACTATACGTAAACAAATCATGCCTCCTGTCATTCCTCTTCATCCGCTCCCATATCTCCAAACCCTCACCAAACCTACCACACTTACACAAGCCACTAATCATGACGTTATAACTCACCACACTGGGAAACACCGACTCTTCCCTCAACAACCTCTCCCACATTTCACTCGCCTTCAGAAAATTCCCACTTTTGAAAAACCCATCAATGATCATGTTATAACACACCACATCAGGTTCCACCCCGTGCTCACGCATTTCATCGAACACTTCAAGTGCAAATCCCAAATCTCCACTCTTCGCCGTTGCACCAATCAAAGTACCGTAAGTGACCTTATCAGGGCTCAACCCCGCACTCGACATCCACGTCAGCAACTCCCTAACCTTCTCAAACTCACGCTTTTTACACAACACCTTCATGATAACGTTATAGGTTTCGACATTCGGCAACACGCGAGCGGATTCAAAGTACTTGAAGAAGCCCTCAGCCCGTGCCCATTGGTTCGATTCAACGAACGCGTTGAGGAGGGTATTGAAGGAGCGTGTGGTGGGGGTGCACCCGAACACTTGCGGCATGGTTTGGAACACGTGCAGGGCTTCGTCGGGCATGCGGGATTTGGCGTAGGCTTTGAGGAGGACGAGGGGCACCTCCTCGTGGCAGGGGCAGCGAATGGAGGAGACAATACGTTGCGCGTGGGCGAGGAAGAGGGCGGGGTCGGTGGCCAGGCGGCGGAGGATGTGGTGGAAGACGGCGGAGGAGGGGACAAAGCCGGGGCGGCGCGTGGCGTCGTCGAAGAGGCTAAGGGCAGAGAGAAGGGACTTCTGAGCTTTGAGCAGCTTGAGAAGACTGTGGGAAGAGAGGGATTTGGGAAGCTCCACCATGACACTGACAGTGGAGAGCGGAGCGGAAACAATTTTCACTGCATTGCATATTTGCGTTTCACTGCTTAGGGACTTTGGAATACCCTTAAATCTTGTGTAACTTAAGTGGAAGATATAGGAAGAAGAATTTAGGAGATTAATTTTGTTTTCTAAAGAATTTTTTTTCTTGATAAAGAACTAAAAACATGGTATAAATTTATAGGAGTAATTAAATGTTAAATTCATTTATTTATTCATCATATTCTCCTTTTCTCACACACCATTAGAATGTTATTTATTGATTTGTCAAATTATTGTTACCAGCAGTAGTAATATGTAGTTTTGTTGGTACAGTGATGTTATGGCACAAGATTGTAACGGAGTTTTGGATAAGTGAATGATTTTGAAGTGAAGTGTGTTTCTATTTGCTAGAACAAGAATGGTGTAAGATTATAAGTATAATGAAGTTGATCAATCATAGCCACTCGTTAGTTTGTGTTGAATTGGTTTGAAATTTTTTTAATTTTTTAAATATGGATTGAAGTGAATTCAATTTACTTAATTTATAGATTAAACATATTCGAATTAGATGTAAAATAAATTGGGGTATAATTGATTAACAATGAAATTTTATTAATATTTTTATAACGGTTACTATGAACTTATTTCTGACCGAAGGGTAAAGGTATAGGAGAACCTCTACCTCACTTTGGGCTCATTTACTACAGGTTAAGACGACATACGATCCTAAGAAACCGAACGGTCAACATGTAGGAAAAAGCCTCTCAACTGTTCGGTTCCGACAACGGTTGAGCAGTTAAGGTTTGCATTAATGACCATTAAGAGGTAAATTAATTGGTGAGATTCCTTTAAACTCTACAAATAAGGGTTTAGGTTCGAGGTAAACTCACGTTTTACTCACTACAAAATTATAAAGGCTTACAGAGAAAATTTCTGACTTGAACGTAGGAGTGTCTTCTACAGGTCGCCCCCCATTCAGTGTTTGGTTGGCTGGAGATAGGAGAAGCATGACGCTCGACAGCGACAAAAGGACGTTTGGCGGAGATCCTCATCCCATTTCAGCAGAAACATTTTGGCACCATCCGTGGGGCCGAGGATTTTCAAAGACACCTTAGCAAGACCATAAGGGTGGCTTAAGATCCAGCAGCGTTTATAAAGGAGATGCATAGGAGGATGAAAGCCATGCAAGCTGAAATTGAAACTCTAAGGGCCAAGCGAGATGCAGCACGTAGGGACCGTGACGCGAGGTGGAGGGCCCCGTCTAGTCAAAGGCCGGCTGCACCCACCTGGAGGGGTACTGCCCGTCCGGTTCATGCCGCTCGGGCAAGGGCACTTCATCCTTTCACGAATGCAGTCATGGAAGAGCAAATGCCGGAAAGGGATCTCTCAGTTCTGGAAAGATATGATGGATCGGAGGAGCCATGGTAATCTATTCACCTAGTGAGAGGATTTGGTGTAGGGTTTTTCCCTTGTCCGTTAAAGGAGAAGCTTTGGAATGGTTTCACTCTCTTCGTCCCAGTACTGCTGATAGTTTTGCAACTTTGAGGCGCCTGTTTGAACAACAGTTCGCTTCCAGTAAGATGCAAGACCTTACCTACATAGAGCTTACTAAAATCAAACAGGGAAAAGATGAAGACCTGAGGGACTTCATGGACCAGTTCAACCGGACCACACGGCAGGTGAAGGCTGTTGGCAAGAAGTTCATCATCAGCACCCTGTCAACAGCCTTAAGGTCGTGCTCCTTTGCGGATAGCCTATTTGCTCGGCCACCTTTAACCATGGGAGAAGTACAGGAGAGGGCCGCTGAGTTCATTCCAATCAGGGAGATGTGGGTTGTCCAAAAAAGGCAGCACGAAGAGAATGATTCACCCTCGGCAGGTCGGCAGCGAAAGGAGGGCAAGCGAGCGTGCACGCAGGACTGTTAACACTCGGCAAGTGTACCAAATCGTATCAAGTAATAATAAAATGGTAAGACCAAATATCGTTTCCCAAAGGACTCAGCCTAAACAGTTATGTGATTTCTTGATTAAATTAGACTTGTAAACAAAATCTTTTAGGTTTAGATGCAAATACTAAAAAGTAAATATGAATGCATGTGTTGATCAATTAGATTGAAAGATGCAAAAGTGATTGATGTAAAATATGAATGATTATGTTGTTGGGGTTTCCGACTCATCCTATCCACTCTCATGTATTCAAGAATTCATCTTTCTTCATTAATGTTAATGCCACTTTCTAATTTACCTTAAACCCGATGTCTCGGTGAAGAAAGCCTACTACTAATTACTAGTTTACAATGTCTTGTCTCCCTAGCAATTATTCATGCATTACATTCGTACAGAAGCTTAAAGGCAACTGATCCTCCTATTCCTATGTCTAGGTAATATTGCTTCCGGGAGAATTTCCCCAGTTCTAGATTTACTGATATGTGTCCATATAGATAACATCAATGATCATGCAATTGAATGAGTTAAACAAAGCATGCATAGAGTAAAGAGGAAAAACCCTAACAATTAATGAAGTAAAGCATATAAAATCAAGAATCAATTCAAGATATGAGAGTTTCAAAATTACATCGGTTCCCTAACAACAATGGAGGTTTAGATCACCATAAACATGGTGAAACTAGATGAAAAACAATGAAAGAATGAAAGATAGAAACCTAGAATTTGAAGAAAGGAGCTTCCGCATCCAAAATCTGCCTCCAAGGGGTGAAGAAAGTGTGATTTCGCCTCTTTCTGTCCAAAGATACCAACCCTAGGTTGACTAAATCCTTATATAGTTTATTAAAAATTTCAGAAAATAGGCCCAAGCCCAATTAAATGGCGCTCAGCGGCACTTTTTCCGCTCAGCGGTAAGTGCGACTCTTCAAGATGACACTCAGCTGTAGTTTTAGCCCTTAGCGGTGACTGCGGTGCTTAAGAACGCCACTCAACGATAAAAGTTGCACTGTGCAGTGAATGCGTCTCTTCTTTTGTGCACTTTTACTTTCTTTCCTGAGTCCAGCTCCTTACTACTTCAACTTCTTTCATCTAATTCATCTTAATTCCTGTCAAAACAAGAAAAACCAAACATAAAACCCATTCAACTCTCTTATTTCCAAAACTTAAGCAAAAGCATGATTTCAAGCTAGTTTCTAAGTCATAAAGGTTGTTTTTAATATCAAAATTAAGTATAAAAATAACGATTTTTCAACCGTTATCAAGGACCGAACGACATAGTTGTGGCAAGAATAGAGTTAAGCATTCTATTTACTTTTTTCTAGTTTAAACAGTGTGATGTAATTTGTAAATCTGATATTACTATCAAAAAGTGTGATGTCAACCATTTGACCAAAGAAAAAGGTTCTAAAAAGAACTTCAATCAACCGTCCGGCTCAAAGAAAAGGTTCTAAAAAGAAATAATAAAACTCTTATTAACCGTTCACATTGGAATCTTCGACCTAGGGAACGTTTCAAGTGAACTCCTAGTGTCGACCAAACGGTGAGGAACGTTGATAACAGGTGAAAAACTATTATTTTCATGCTTAAAATTGATACTAAAAGCAACCTTTAACATTAGAAACTAGCTTGGAATCATGTTTTTTGTTCATATTTTTGTGAAATAAGAGAGTGGACAAGTTTATGCTTGATTTCAGTGTTTTATTGCAGGTTAAGGTGAGTTTGGTGAGAAGTGAAGAAGGATAGAGATGGAATAAGAAAAAACTCAAAAAGTGCAAAAGGAGAAGTCGCAACTACCACTCAGCGATAGTTTACCGCTGAGCGACACTCAGGAAATCACGTTGGCTCCGCTGAGGGGTGAAAATGCCCTGAGGGGAAGAATCAACTCACGCACTTACGCTGAGCGGACACTATTTTGGGCTTGGGCCTAATTTTTGTATATTTAGAATAGTATATAAGCTTTAGGATGTCCAGGGTTTGTATCTTTGGCGGAGACGAAGCAAACACTCACTTTTCACCCCTTGAAGGAAGATCTTGGATGCTTCAGGCTACCTCCTATTTTCTAGGGTCTTATCTTCCTTATTTCATTATTGTTCATCTAGTTTCACCATGAATATGGTGAACTAAACCTTGTAGTTGTTGGTGGAATCATTGTAGTTCTTGTGAAACTCTCATATATAGAATTGTGTTAACATCTTATTTTAAGATACATGCTTCTTTCATCATTAGTTAAGGGTTTCCTATTGCTAATAGTGCTTGTTTTTAACTCACTCAATGCATGATTATTGATTTTTGCGAATTGGGAATGTACGAGGAAGTCTAGATCGGGGAATTTCTCCAATAGCACTATTGCCTGGACATAGGAATATGAGGGTTGGCTTTCCAAGGGAATATAAGGCACTGAAGTGGAAAAGGAGTAGCTTTGGCTTTACCCACCGAGGAACCTACTGATGGTATCATCAACTCAACCATACAAGTTTCCACTCACTATTTAAATTAATTTCCTAAATAAACTCATGAACCACATTTGCATTGTAGATCATCGAATCGTATAACATTATTTATTTTCTAACACGAAGGATAAATTTTTTTAATAAGAAGACTGGTACGAGTATATTCTAAATGATATAATAACCTAAGCTGGATTATGTATTTTTACTACTGCAATCTTGATAGAGAACCAAAAACAACATCAAAACTAGGGCATGACCACATGTACAAAAAATGAAGGTTTAAGTAATGATTGAGACAACTAAACAATTATACGGTGGATGTTTAAGAGAC